GGTGGTGGTGGTGATGGTGGTGTTTGAATGTTGGTGGTGTTAATGTTGGTTTTGTTGTTGGATGCTGGTGTTTAAGGTGGTATGAGAGAGAGAGAGAGAGAAACAGACAGAGACAGAGAGAGGCAGACAGACAGACAGAGACAAGAGAGAGACAGACATACAGAGACATACATACATACAGACAGACGGAGAGACAAAAACATACATACATACACACACACATACATACAAACAGAGAGAGAAACAAAGACATACAGACAGACACATACACACATACAAACACACAAACAGAAAAAAGAAAAAATAGAAAGAGAGAAGGAAAGAACTCCGCGTCCTTGGCTTATCAGAAACAGATAAAATGATAACTAAAATGATAACTAAAATGATCACTTTCCCTCTCTCTGTGACAGATCTCGGTAAACACTCGACTCAAGCACAAATGGAGATCTATTTTCCTTCAGTATTTTAAAAGACGTTTTTGCTTTCAAGATGAAGCGAATTTTGTGTTATCTCTTTGGGTTTTTTTGTTCATGGGAAGATTGTTCATGATTTGTTCATTGGTGTGTTTATTTATTTATTTGTTGTTGTTGTTGTTGTTGTTGTTGTTGTTATCGTTATTATTGTTACCATTTTTTTCATTATTTATTATTATTATTATCATTGTTATTGTTTTTATTTATACTATTAACATTATTGTTATTTTCATTGTTATTGTTATTATTTATATTATTTCATTATTGTTATTATTATTGTTATTAATGTTATTATTATTATTAGTATTAGTATTAGTATTAGTATTAGTAGTGTTACCATTATTATCATGATCTATTATTATTGTTATTATCATTATTGTTGTTATTATTTATATTAATTTTGTTATTATTTATATTATTATTGTTATTGTTTATATTATTATTATCACTAATGGTATTATTATTTTATATATATTATTATTATTATTATTATTACCATTATTTTTTCCTTATTTTCATAGCTTATAAAGAATGTATTTGAATAATTTAAAATATGTGATGCTTTTATCAGATGCTAGCCATGTCATGTAAGCTGTGAGTTCGCCGCCGCCTAACCCTTCCCTCCCTCCCTCCCTTGCAGCGGTGCAACGCGGCCGCATCCCCCCGTCGCAGGGTATGGGGATGCCAGGACAGTTCATGGCCAACGGCGACTCCCTCAACGGCCACACGTACCTCTCCTCCTACATCTCCCTCCTCCTCCGCGCTGAGCCCTTCCCCACCTCCCCCTACGGCCAGTGCATGAACGCCAACAACATCATGGGCGTCGACAACATCTGTGAGCTGGCGTCGCGGCTGCTGTTCTCGGCGGTGGGCTGGGCCAAGAACATCCCCTTCTTCCCGGAACTGCAGGTGACCGACCAGGTGGCGCTGCTGAGGCTCGTGTGGTCCGAGCTGTTCGTGCTCAACGCCTCGCAGTGCTCCATGCCCCTGCACGTGGCGCCCCTGCTCGCCGCCGCGGGGCTGCACGCGTCCCCGATGGCGGCCGACAGGGTGGTCGCCTTCATGGACCACATCCGCATCTTCCAGGAGCAGGTCGAGAAGCTCAAGGCGCTGCACGTCGACTCGGCCGAGTACTCGTGCCTCAAGGCGATCGTCCTCTTCACCTCAGGTAAGTCTGGCGCCCACGCTCTTGTTTTTTTCTAATTGGGTCACCTGTCTAAGTCTGGCGCCCACGCTCTTCGTCTTTTTTCTAATTGGGTCACCTGCCCGAGTCTGGCGCCCATGCTCTCGTCTGTGTGTGTGTGTGTTTTCCTTCTTTTTAATATTATTATTATTATCATTATGTCACCTGCCTAAGACTGGCGCCCACGTTCCGTTTTTGTCTAATTGGGTCACCTGCCCAAGTCTGGCGCCCACGACCTTCGTTTTTTGTTTCTAATTGGGTCACCTGCCCAAGTCTGGCGCCGATGCTCTCGTCTGTGTGTGTGTGTTTTTTTTTCTTGTTTTTATTATTATTATTATGATGTCACATGCCTAAGTCTGGCGCCCCAACTCTCGTCTGTTTATTATTTTTATTTTATTATTATTTTTTTACGTCACCTGCCTAAGTCTGGCGCCCATGCTCTCTTCTGTTTTATTATTATTATTATTATTATTATTATTATTATTATTATTATTATTATTAAGTCACCTGCTTGGGTATTGGGGCGAGACCTCCCCTTGGTAATATATAATATATATATATATATATATATATATATATATATATATTATATATATAATATATATATATATATCTTATCGACAAGACCCCTAGTTGTACCTGTTTTTTTTTTTTTTTTTTTTTTTTTTTTTTTTTTTTAATGTCAAGGAGTCACCTACGTGGATTCCGCAATTGATCCACGCTCGCCAAAAAAAAAATAATAAAAAAAAAATCTTGTTTTCCATTTTCTATTTCTTTCTCTCTCTCTTTTTTCCCCTTCACCCCCCCCCCCAAAAAAAAATCTTATTTTCCATTTTCTTTTTTTCTTCTCTCTTTTTTTTCCTTCATCCCCCCCCCAAAAAAAATCTTGTTTTCCATTTTCTTTTTCTCTCTCTTTTTTTTTCCTTCATCCCCCCCCAAAAAAAAAAATCTTGTTTTCCATTTTCTTTTTCTCTCTCTCTTCTCTTTTTCCCCTCTTCACCCCCCCCCAAAAAAAAAAAAATCTTATTTTCCATTTTCTTTCTCTCTCTCTCTCTTTTTTCCCCCTCCACCCCCCCCCATTTTTTTTTCTTCTAAATCCGACTAGAACAAAGCCAACCCTGTTTTGGAAAAGCAGACCGCGGACTCAGGTGCCTAATTATGTTGACCTCCCTGGCACTGGACCGTTCACAACACGCAAGGACGCCCAAACACAGCACGGCACAGAGACCCACGTACGAACCCGGACCAAAAAGGGGAACGAAAAAGAAGTACCAAAAAAAAAAAAAGTAAAAAACGTTAACGAAAGCATAGCGATATAGAAAGAGGATAATAATAATAAAGGGAAAAAAAAGGAGTCAGAATATATATATATATTTTTTAGTAATATAATTTTTAGAAAATAAAGATATTTAGAAAAAAAAATCAGTAAAGAAAAAATAATACAGTTAAAAAGTAGTAAAAAGAATGAAATTTAGAAAAAGATAAATCATAACGATCAAAATAAAGATAAACAACAGAAAAGAAAAAGAAAATAAAGCATAACGATCCATATCCATATATATATATATATATATATATATATATATATATATATATATATATATATATATATATATATATATATTATATATATACATAAAAACCTTGTCCACGTCTGTCTGTGCCGGCGTGTTGTTCAGCGAAGCGACGTGTTATCCAATTATAAAGTGGCTGGA